TTTTCTATCCCTTTTATTGGCTCTGGGCTTCAGACGCAACTGCTGTGGAGCGCCGTTTGACTGTTTTTATGATTAATTTGGGGTTTCCGTTTTCCTAATTGAAAAATTTTTTTCATTCTCTTTGCTTTACATTGAGCCCTCGAGTGTTCTTCCGTATTTAGGTATCAAAGCCTCTTCACGAACATCCTAAAAAGAAGGGAGTGAAAGCCGTGGAAGAACTGCCGTTGCTTCCTGACTTCGATGTAACTGGTTTTCTGATTAAGAAAAATTAATCATAAAAGGTGAGTCTTTTGCCTAAGGCTGGTTTAACCATTATACTTTGTCTTCAGAATTGGATTCATCCCTTCGCCTTAGTTGTCTTTGATGGAGATCCTATTCCTCGCGGTGAGAAAACAGATGGAGATGTTCTCTTGTCACAAGCGCTGATCCGGTACATTCCCAGATAAATTTCAAAACTTTCTGTGCGCAGTGTCGTTGCCGTTTTTTATAAACAGTGCTTTTCTCAGAATAATGCATGTTCCTTTTTATGATCGAAGTTGAAATTGAGTTTTTCTTCAGAGGTATGATGGATGAAAAAGGTGAACAGTTTGTTACTTATTATCTCCCAACAAAAGAAACTCTTGAAGCGCGGGCTCGAGATGCGCAAAACGAAAAACCATTCGATCCAGATTACACGTATTACTTAATCGTTAAAAAAAACCGCTTTCAAAATAAGTTTTTTGACATCGGGGTTTTTTTAGATATGAGTACAATTCAGTGCGTGACTACAATTGGTTAGTTCGGAACAAGTCCACTAAAGGTTTTGAACAAGACAACTATTTGTTTTCTCTTCGGAGTGATGGAGTATATTACGATGAGTTGGAAACAAAGGTTACACTTACTCGGCGGAAAACAGTTCGCGCCCAGGTTTGCCAGACTGATATCAGTGTTTTTTCCAGTCTTTTGTTTCCGCCTTGAAGCTGTATTTTTATTCTATTTTAAATACATATTTGTTTGGAAGTTATAGGCCCAGCAGAAAAGTATTCTTTATTTGCGCCATAGGCCTTATGATGATAACGAATTATCGATACAGGTTCGTTTGTTTCTGCGTTATTTGCATCTGTTGACTTCACCTCTTAAATTTCGACTTCTGGGAAGAAATCCCTCCAGTAAATGATAATACCAAGTTTTAGCGAGATCGTCTGAATCGGTTACTGCATCCTTATGACGCCAACGATGAAGAAGGTACGTTTAATTAGCTAACCGTTCCTAATTCCTACTGCGTGCTTGTTGCACGGTCATCTCGTATGTGCCCAAAGTGTGAGTTTATTTAATGATGCAGTCTAACGTTACGATTTTTTCACTGCAGAATTAGTTTAGTAATTTAAGGGTCAGAAAAGGACTCGAGCGATGAAGAAGAAGAAGACGGTGAGGGTGTGGAAGTTCGTCATGCTAACCCGTCGAAAGAAGATGAAGAGGAAGACAAGAGTGAAAGTTCTTATGACAGTGACAAAGAGGAAAAGAAGGAAGAGACTACTAGCGAAAGCGAAGAACAAAAGAGTCAAGCGTCTGGCGAGAGCGGTAAAAATGGTAATGAGGAAGGCATAACTTGCTTGAGCCGATTTTCATACCAAGTACCTACTTCTCACTTAGATAAGATTGGTTTTAAGGAGACGAGGACGACCTCGATGTCCCCTCCGACGGGCAAGAGGAAGACGACGGAGAAGCTCAGAAATCTGACAGTTCCGACAGCGACTGACAAAAATATGACTCCGTGAATCTCACCTTGTTCACAAATCTTCCTGTTGATCCTGTAGTGTGGATATAAAGCCTGGTCATGTTCCTTGCCGCAATTCGCTCCTCTCTCTGCTAAAGTGAACTACTGTAGAGAGTAACGAGCGTTGGGCTATTGACTTTTGACTGCCGCAATTCATTCAGCTCACAGATTCTACGTACTTAACGTTGTTAAGAAGAGGGTCAAACACCTAACAAGAATAGTACCCTACTAGATCCTTTATTGGTCATGTAACAGTTTTCCTGGTATTTATTACAAGATATGAACAAGAATGATTAGAGTCATGACGCACACATATAACAGCCATCAAATAAATTTGTAGAAAGTGAGACAGCAACTAATTCATCGCTTCATGTCAGTGCCTGTTCTCTATACTTCCAAACAAAATGCAGAAATGAATTTTTCCGAACTTGCGAGCTATCTGGCGCTAAATATTTGCAAGTGCTATCTGTATGGAAAATAGGAAAACAATTTGGAACTCATGCACCATCTTCAACCGCCTCACAAAGTAAGGCGGTGCAGAATCCATCAGTTGTTGAAGGGAATCGTTTCTTGCATTTTGCGCATCACTGCGATATCATAAGTAGTGACAGCACGCGGAATAAAACACTTTTCATGCACCTGCAACAAAAAGGTTATCAATTTCCAACCTCCATTTGACCTACACTAGTGAACTGCTAGTCAAAACATCTTCCGACCAATCTGATACGTCGGTCGTCTCAGTGAACAAATATTCTATATTCTTGACCAAATGACTACTGGAGGGGAGCATTCACATAGTAGGCAACCAAACCTGCTTCCATCTTCGAATTGAAATTCTCTCTGGGCTACTCTCCACGCTACTGGAGGCAACACTTCCTGACCCACCGGTTTCACATGGCTCCAAAGCAAACGCTAAATTAGGAAATGAAACCAACAAGAGTTTTCAGCGGACAAGCCATTCAAAAGGAGAACGTGATTGCAGATTATACCCATTGCTTTAAGCACAGGCACGACGAAGCTCTTTGAATAAACTACAACGCGACCCCACTCCCAACCACAGTTAGGCGCTCCACATTTAACCTGGAATTGTGCTACGATAAAACTTTTTTCTGGCACAAGGAGGAAGCGTTGAATTACATCAAAGTAAGTCTTTTACAAACTGCAGGTTAAGCGAAAAAAAGGCTTCTTAATCCCTTTGCAACTCTCAGACGTTTATTGACAAAGAAGATGCTCTTGCCATTCCAATCCCTCTCGTCTCAAAGTTGATCTCCTGTGTCTTCCTTTCTTCCGAATATTCAGAACAAGAGGTTAGGCGCCAAAAGTCTTCGCGCACCACGAAGTGTTGTGTTCCTATATCATCAGTTGCAACCTGGTCAGAACGGCATATCACCACGCCACATTTCCTAGCAAATTAAAAATAACCTCCACTCCTCAATTTTTAGAAAAGGTAAAGGCTAAAGATTTCAAGAGACTTACCGACAAACCAAATTAAATGAACTTTTCAAATCAGCTGTCCTTCTTTCGGTAGCCATTCTTTCCTTCTCTCTGTCTTCATTGTACTTAACAATCAGTTCTTTCATCTAAATTAAACAGTGGAAGATCCGATTAAAATAATTTAAGATGCCAACTTCAGTAATGACCTTATTTTCAAACCAGCTTTGTGGTTTTCCGCTAATATACTCAAGGGCATCCTCCATGAGTTTTTCGCGCAAAACGTTAAGGCCTTCCTTCTCCTTCAAAACTTTATCACTTGTCAGAAGAATGCACCTCGCACCTTTGGCGCGTCCACGACCTATTGAGAAAAGTAAGAATTTGCTCCGATACTAAAACCCAAGAGGTTCCCTCTACAAGTGGTTCGAAAAAGGTTAGTAAGAAACTGGGTAAGCAATTTCAATGTTAAAGATTACCTCGCCTTTGCACGTGTGCAATTTCGTTGGTGACGTAGTTATAATTGATAACAAGATTACATTTCTGGATATCAATGCCTTCCTCAGCAACCGACGTCGCGCACAGAACTTTCACGTCACCGTCGGCAAACTGCTTTAAAACAGAGCGCTGCACACCGATACTCTGACCGCCTGCTACCGCAGAAACGTTAATTCCTGAAAACAAGTTGGACGAGAACTGGAAGTACGGAGACGTCAAAAAACTTCGGAAAATACTAGCGCACAGAGTAGTAGCAGTATTTCAAAATGAAAAAATAGTCCATCACAAAGCACTAAATGTTTTTCAAGATGGAGCCTCCATAACAGTCTATTTTAAACCCTCTTTCTGACAGATTCAAGTTATCTTTAAACAAATGATCTTGAACTTTTGTGCCTTACCACTTCTTCCTTTTCTAAAACTTTTTCCTTTGGAAAAGAGTAAACAAAGGTAAATCATACTCAGCAAGATTTAAGAGAGAAATTCACATGTCTCGACAAGTACGTATTGTAAATAAATCTGTCAAAAATAAAACACAAACTTTCTTGTCTCAAATTAAAAAGTAAAAATAAAAATCCCGACTCCGAGTTTCTAAAGGTTGGAAGCGGAGCTATCCAAAGATGGTTCTGAATCATAGTTGCCTGCTGCTTGCAGCGACTTTCAGATGTCGCCAAAAACTGTTTGAAGCACAAACTACTAGGTTCCTTCCGACAGATAGCAAAAAAAGAGGGGGGGGGGGGGG